TCAGCCTCGTAAAAGTGTGCTTATTTTCTGTACTCTGATAAGAAGTATTTCAAACAACAAAATCAGTCTTAACTTCTTAGCATCTGTGCCAATGGCAATAAATTTAGCCATCTGTTTCAAACTTAAAAGGCTAGTTAGTAACTTAATACTATTTTCTTTTTCCACAATAGCCTTTTAGAGAGGAAATGTTTCATAACATACATATAACATGTCTAGAAAGGAGAATGTAAACCTTGTGAAGCTGAGTTTTGGAGTGATTTTACATTATTATTATTGTTGTTGTTGTTATTTTCAATTTGTATCCCGCCTGGCCAGGCGAACTGGCTCAAGGTGGCATACAGACATTAAAATACAATAAATACAATAAAATACACAAAACAACCTACATACCATCATAAAGTGCTAAAAGGACAGTACAGATTATGGTGGCCTTCAGTATACAATCCCATAGTGGAAAGCAGAATCCAACGGTGTAACACAGGGTAGTGAGATGTTCCAGTGGCTCATTCGACAGTGGCGGCTCCTAATCGAAAGCCTGGTGGAAGGGCTCTGTTTTACAGGCCCTGTGGAACTGTAAAAGGTCCCGCAGGGCCCTGATGTCATCCGGGAGCTCATTAAGGGTTGGAGGTGGGGTAGCTCTGTATGTCAGAGAGGGTATAAAGTCTAGAAAGATTGAGAGGCTAAGTGAATTGGATTCGCTTCTGGAAGTTCTATGGGTTGAAATAGGGGGGCCAAAAGGAAACTTAACACTGGGAGTTTGTTATCGCCCACCAGATCAAAAGATAGAGGAGGATTATAAAATGATGAATGCCTTAAAGATAGCAACTAGACAAAAACACTGTGTAATAATAGGTGATTTTAACTACCCACACATTGATTGGGTCAATATGTGTTCTAGTCGGGAAAAAGAGATTGAGTTTCTAGACACTCTAAATGACTGTGCTATGGAGCAGATGGTCACGGAACCTACCAGGGGAGAGGCGATCCTTGATTTGGTCCTAAGTAACACTCAAGACCTGGTGAGAGATGTAAAAGTGATTGCACCGCTTGGAAACAGTGATCATAATGTTGTTGAGTTCATCATTTGTACAAATAGAGAATTGGCCAAAAAGACTCACACAACCATTTTTAACTTTAAAAGGGGTAATTTCTCTGATATGAGGGGACACGTGGGGAGGAAACTGAAAGGAAAAGTAGAAAGGGTCAAAACAATTGGGGAAGCTTGGGATCTATTTAAAACTACGATCCTAGAAGCTCAAAAAATATATATTCCGCAGGTTAGGAAAGGCACAAACAGGTATAGGAAAAAGCCTGCATGGTTAACAAACAGAGTAATGGAGGCTGTAAAAAGTAAAAAGAATTCCTTTAAGCAGTGGAAAGCTAGTCACAGTGAGGCTGATAAAACGGAACACAGGCTATGGCAAATAAAATGCAAGTCTGAGGTCAGGCAGGCAAAAAGGGAATATGAGGAGCATATAGCAAAAAACGTAAAAACCAACAATAAAACTTTCTTCAAATACATTAGAAACAGGAAACCAGCCAGGGAGGCAGTGGGGCCCTTGGACGACCAAGGGGTAAAAGGAGTATTGAAGGATGATAGGGAAATGGCTGAGAAGCTAAATGCATTTTTTGCCTCCGTCTTCACTGTGGAAGATGAGAAGTGCTTGCCCACTCCAGAACCACTGATTTCAGGAGGGGTGTTGGAAGACCTGAGTCAGATTGAGGTGATGAGAGAGGAGGTCCTAAAACTGATAGACAACTTAAAAACTGAAAAATCACCAGGCCCAGATGGCATACATCCGAGAGTTCTGAAAGAACTCAAATGTGAACTTGTAGATCTCCTGACAAAGATATGTAATCTTTCCTTAAAATCTGCCTCCATTCCTGAGGATTGGAAGGTAGCTAATGTCACTCCCATCTTTAAAAAGGGTTCCAGAGGAGATCCGGGAAATTACAGGCCAGTCAGTCTGACGTCGATACCGGGTAAATTGGTGGAAACCATTATTAAGGAAAGAATTAGTAGGCACATAGATGAACAAAACCTATTGAGGCAGACTCAGCACGGTTTCTGTAAGGGAAGATCTTGTCTCACTAACCTGTTAGTGTTCTTTGAGGGGGTGAACAAACATGTGGACAAGGGGGATCCAATAGATATTATTTACCTTGACTTCCAGAAAGCTTTTGATAAAGTTCCTCATCAAAGGCTCCTAAGTAAGCTCAAAAATCATGGGATAGAAGGACAAGTCCTTTTATGGATCAAAAACTGGCTAGTTCATAGAAAACAGAGAGTGAGTGTAGGTGGGCAATTTTCTCAGTGGAGGGTGGTAAGCAGTGGGGTACCGCAGGGATCAGTACTTGGTCCACTGCTTTTTAACTTGTTCATTAATGATTTGGAGATGGGAGTAAGCAGTGAAGTGGCTAAATTTGCGGATGATACAAAGTTGTTCAGGGTGGTGAAAACCAGTGAGGATTGTGAGGCACTCCAAGGGGATCTGTCAAGGATGGGCGAGTGGGCGTCAACATGGCAAATGGGGTTCAATGTGGCCAAGTGCAAGGTGATGCACATTGGAGCCAAAAATCCTAAATATAAATACACATTGATGGGGTCTGAACTGGCAGAGACTGAGCAAGAGAGAGATCTTGGAGTTGTAGTGGATAACTCACTGAAAATGTCGAGACAGTGTGTGACTGCAATAAAGAAGGCCAATGCTATGCTGGGGATTATTAGGAAGGGTATTGAAAACAGATCAGCCAATATAATAATGCCCCTATATAAATCAATGGTGAGACCTCATTTGGAATACTGTGTGCAGTTCTGGTCACCACACCTTAAAAAGGATATTATAGCTTTGGAAAAAGTGCAGAAAAGGGCAACTCGAATGATAAAAGGGTTGGAACACTTTCCCTATGAGGAAAGGTTAAAGCGCTTAGGGCTCTTTAGCTTGGAGAAAAGACGACTGAGGGGTGACATGATCGAGGTTTATAAGATTATGCATGGGAAAGAGCAGGTAAAGAAAGAGGTACTTTTCTCCCTTTCTCACAATACAAGAACTTGTGGGCACTCCATGAACTTGCTGAGCGGTCGGGTTAGAATGGATAAAAGGAAGTACTTCTTCACCCAAAGAGTGATTAACACTTGGAATTCACTGCCACAGGAAGTGGTGGGTGCTACAAGCATGGATGGCTTCAAAAGGGAATTAGATAAGCATATGGAGCAGAGGTCCATCAGTGGCTATTAGCCACAAGGTATAGCTAGGGGCTCTGGGGCAAGTGATGCTCTGTCTTCTTGGTGCTTGGGGGGGGTCAACAGTGGGAGGGCTTCTAATGTCCTGGCCCCACTGCTGGACCTCCTGATGGCACTGGTATTTCTGGCCACTGTGTGACACAGAGTGTTGGACTGGATGGGCCTTTGGCCTGATCCAACATTGGCGTCTCTTATGTTCTTATGTTCTTATGTTAAGCTCCTAACCCTTGGCACTGGCACCAGTGGTGCCCCATCGAAGGTCGGGAGTGGGATCTCTACTCCTGGCCGGCTCCAACTCAGGCACAGGACCACCGTCTTCATTGGATTCAATTTCAATCGACTCAGTATAAGCCAGCCCGCCACGTCCTGAAGCACCTGCTCCAGGTCATCTGGGGTAGAATTGGACCGACCACACAACAACAGATTTAGCATCAATTTGCATATTGATGACACCATAGCCCATTATTAAAAAGATTTGCCCAAAATAAACCCAAGCACTATGCAAGGTATTATTTATTCATTTAATAATTAAAACACTGACTTTTGAAGAAAGAAAAATCACCGCTATCTAGGTCAAGCAGTAGGCAGGAGCCAGTAAGGTTATCCTTAGAAACAAATTATTTCTGTCTGCAACTTCAGTGCTTTCCATGAAATGGCAGTGTATGGAAATTAAGAATGAATGTACATGTAGAAGTAGGGGTTGCCAGGTCCATCTTCATCCCCAGTGGGGGACTTTGGGGGGCATTCCCAGAGGGGGCAGGGTGTATCCAACATGAAGACATCACAATGGGGACATCCCAGCTCCAAGACCCAGTCCCGCTGGCTGTGAGAACTTAGAGGGTCCCTTTAAGTGCGCACAGCCGGTGGGACAGGACCCCGCGTGCCCAATCTCCCAGTGACATTGCCGCTTCGAGATCGGGCACTCGGGGACAGTCCCACCAGCTGTGTGCACCTAAATGGGCCCCTTTAAGTGCCTGCAGCCAAGGGCCCTGCGCATCCAATCTTTGAGCGGCATTGCCACTGGGAGATCGGGTGCATGGGGCCCTGTCCCACTGGCTGCCCCACAGCCTGTCCAACAGCCAGAGGGCCCTGCCCACCTGGAGATTGCGCGTGTGGCCCTTAGCCACCCCCTCCCTCCTCTCTCTCAAGAGAGAAGGGAGAGTGGTGGCTGTGGGTGTTGGCCAGGTGGCGGGTAGAACCCCCCAAAAAGCAGGTAACCCTTGCCAAACCAGGGGTTCTGGCAACCCACATGTCCACTAGCCAAACATCCCTTATATAAATGTTCAGCATGATTTGTAGACTCTATTCACAATAGAATTGCCAGGTCCTCCCTGGCCACTAGTGGGGAATAGGGGGGTAGGGTTTCAAGAACCAAGCTAGGAAACCCCGGGAGATTTGGAGAGCGAGCCTGGGGAGGGGAGGGACCCCAGTGGAGTACAATGCCACAGAGTCCACCCTCCAAAGCATCCATTTTCTCCAGAGGAATTGATCTCTGTAGTCTGGAGATGAGCTGTAATTTCAGGGGATCCCCAGGTTCTACCTGGAGCCTGGCATCCCTAATTCACAAGTTATACTGAGCATGCAATAATCAGACCAATAGACATGGTTCTATTCCCTTCCCTGTACACTCATTCAGTCCACACAAACATACACAAGAATACAGGCCTCTCGGTAAACATTAACAGTAGAACATTTCCTTCTCCTTAATTAATAGCCTGTACATTCCAAACTCGTGTCACTTTGTCAAATGTTGTACCTGTTGTTCCTGAAGTAAATATGTAGAGAAGAGGGTCTTTTAGACTCTTAGCAATACGGAGATTATCTGGTATGGGATCATCAGAGACATCATCCAGCTTGTCTAAAATGGTGTCAACACATGGCAAAATGGATTCTTTTGTCATCAACCATACTTTAATATCACCTTGGAGACTTGGAAGGATTTCTTCTAAGGTCCCAAGCATATCTTTAAAATAATAATATTGCAATACAGTAAATAAAATGTTAGACTCAAATGGTATAATTGCAAAACGCTCGTCATCATCCTAGTGAAGGGAGGGATGTCAAGGAAGGATAATATATTGCAGAAGAAACATGTTCAGAAAGATACTGGTGACCCACTATGAAGTAATTGGCTAATTTTGCCGTATTCAACCATGTCCCAGATGGGCTTTGTACAACAGAACTCAAAGGGAACCATAGAAAATCAAACCCACTTTCCTCCCCAGAACCCTGTCATCTCATCTGTAAAGACCCATTCATTTTTTTAGTTGTAACAGAGTGTGACACAATACAGTCTATATACAGACCTTTTATATATTTCTGACAGTTATACATTTGATCAGTAAAGCTATAAGGAACGGGTTTTTTGTTGTTCAGTTGCACAGTCGAGTCTGACTCTTCGCGACCCCATGGACCAGATCACGCCAGGCCTTCCTGTCTTCCGCCGTCCTCTGAGGTTTGCTCAATTTCATGTTCGTTGCATCTATGACACTGTCTAACCATCTCATCCTTTGCCGTCCCCGTCTTCTTTGACCTTCAATCTTTCCCAGCATCAGGGTCTTCTCCAGTGAGTGCTCCCTTCTCATTTGGTGGCTAAAGTATTTGAGCTTCAGTTTCATTATCTGGCCTTCCAGGGAACAGTCAGGGTTGATTTCTTTTAGGATTGACTGATTTGATCTTCTTGCAGTCCAAGGGACTCTCAAGAGTCTTCTCCAGCACCATAGTTCAAAAGAATCTATTCTTCGGCGCTCGGCCTTCCTTATAGTCCAACTCTCGCAGCCATACCTGACTACTGGGAATACCATTGCTTTGACCATGCGGACTTTTGTCGGCAGGGTGATGTCTCTACTTTTTATCATGCTGTTTAGGTTTGCCATCACTTTCCTCCCAAGGAGCAGGCGTCTTTTAATTTCATGGCATTTCATGTCATGAACGGTATTCATATTCAAATACTTAGTGCAAAATGGCCTCACTTTCATGTCTCCTAAATGTTGTTTATACACAGTGTCATGCAATTCTAAATAGTTACACCTTTGTAAATTCATTGTAGTCAATGGGTTTAGAAGGATATCATATTATCTCTTTCAAAACTTAATTAACTGTTAACAGATAAGACCCCTCAACATCTAGTTTCAATACTATCAAAGGCACAATTCAGAGTCCATCAGCCTTCATTTGCCCTTTCCCTGTCTCTTCCGCAATTTATAAGGACTTTTAGGGGCTGCTGCCCCTTTCTCTGATAGAGAGTCCTCTCCGGAAGATTCTGAGTCCAGCTCGCCACTGGACTTACTGTCCATCCCTTCTTTTTCTTCCTCCTCTGGCTCTCCCAACTGGATTCTCAAAAATTCCCGTGCTTTCTGCGCAGAGTCAATCTTCTCTTTCTTGTCCTTGATTTTGAAGGTGACGTCTTCTGGAGTTAACCATCTGTATCCAATTGCATTTGTCTGAAGAAAAAGAACTAGGTCTTTGTATTTCTTCCTCCTTTGTCTTATTTCAAATGGAATGTCTTGTCTCCAACTTTCACGGGTGATCCAGATGCCGCTTTCAGGATTGCATCCCTCACATGCCTCTTCGAGAATCTTATCACTATTTCCCCAGGCAGATTATTTTTCTTTATATATCCGGAATATGACCTGTAGGCCACATCCGTATCGCTCAGTAAAGTTTCCGCCTTCATATCCATCACTGGGGCCAGTATGTCACTCATCATTTCCTTTAGATTCTCTCCCTTAGTCTCTGAAATGCCCTGGAAGCGAAGAATCAAATTAGCCTTTTCCATTTGTAAATGCAGCAACTGTTCTTCTGTGGAAATTTGCTTCTTTTCCAGTTTTTGTACCTTCTTCTTCGCCTTTTCGGCAGTGGCGTCCACTTCATTAACCTTCTCAGCTGTTTGATTCATCATTTTAAGCGTCTCATTCAACTGTGTTTGCTGGGTGGTGATGCATTGGTTCATTGTTGACAGCTGCTCCCTTAGGTTACTCATCTAATCCAGCAGAGGGCGCATGGATTCCGCTAATGTCTTTGCCAGCTCATTGGTTCCTTCTGGTCTTGGACTCTCCGTTCCGTTCGCTTTTGAAAGTTTCTCTTTTTCCGTCCTCTTCCCCGCCATCTTTAAGGATTGTTTCCTTTCGCAAATATTTTTAAAGTCTCTGAATATGTGCTTATATGCTCAAGCTCGCCTTGGTAAGTCTTTCTTAACAGTTTTCTCCGCTTTCTCTTCCGCTCCCCCCCTCCAACTCGCTTATAAGTTCATGCACATGGGAGGCGTCCCTCCCCCGCTCACCTCACTTTCTGTTCCACGGGGTGGGGAGCTATCTTTTCACTTTAACCGGTACGCTTTAAATGAACTCACATTCATAATTGGTCCTCAGACCTCGTTTTAGCTCC